AAAAGAAGAAATATTAAATAAAAAAGAAAAAAAAAGACCATCGATACACAATTTTGTATATATTATTTAAAAGAAAAAAACGAATATTTAAACTACGATGATCTAAATGGCGCACATGAGTTTTTCATCAGATTAAACTAGGCAATACGAATGCTTAATGGGAACAAAAAGAACATTGTTTAATTTCCCTTTTCTTCTTATATTTCTTTTTTCTTGCTTTCTTTTATTTTATTTTTTCTTCTTTGTTTTACTTCTTTTCATTATTTGTCCTTTATTCTTTTTTTCATTTTTTTAAATATCTTGTTCATTTTTAAAAAATTATTTTTGTTTTTGATCATGTTTTTCATCTTATCTTTGCAGAGGATAATGCTTCTTAGTAGATCGAGCAAGTGTTTCTTAAATCTTTGTTTTGTTTTTTTTTTTCAAATTTTATTTAGAGATTTCATAATAAAATATAAAAAAATAAAGATAAAAAAATAAAGAAATGAAAAAGAGAAAAATCGTAATAGATGAATACTTCATATTATTTTTATTTTTCAATGTAATGATATTTTCTAAGAACAGAATAAAATAGAAAAGATGGAATTTAGTTTTCTCTGTGTCTCATTTTATAAATTAAAATATATAATATATATTATAAAATAATAAAAAATTAATACAAATTTCTTTTTATATTTGGTATAGGATGAAAAACTAATTTTCTTATTTAAAAAAATTGAAGATTATACAGATATTTTGTTTTTTCTAAAAAAATCTTTAGTGAAAAACAGATTAATTAAAATTTTTCAATGAAAATAAATTAATTTGTAATACAAATTTTTATTTTTTAAATTCTAAATTTTTTAAATTTTAGAATTTTTATTTTTATCTAAATTAACTAACTAATTTTATTATTCAATATTAATTTTATTATTTATTATAATATAAAAATTATATATAAAAATTTGTAATAATTTATTTTTTAAAATTTTGATTAATATTTTATTAAAAAGAAATTATTTAAAATTATTTAAAGTTATTATTCACAAAATTTTATTTTATTTTATCATTATTTTTGTTTTAATTTTTAAAAATATAAATATCTTTATTTTATTTTCTGTTTTGAAATAAGTTTAGTTTCTTTAAAACTTAATGAACAAAAAGTTTTTAACATGAACTGAATATAATTGATAAAGTCTATATTAAATAAGTTTTAAAGATAATATACTTTATATAATTGTACACTATATAATCATAATTTTTAATGATAACAGACTAAAAGCAACAAAAATTGCGTACAGATAAGGCTTGTTCAAATAGAACGCACATTTTCTAAGTAATATTTCAGTTTTGCAAAATAGAAATCGATATATTATCCATATATATATCTCTACTGACATAATTGCTATCATCAGTGTCATCATCGTATTATTTTTGAAAATCTGCCTGCATTATGTGAGTATATACGCCATCATTCTCTTAAACATAAGATGACACTCAATTTATTTCATTATTTCATTAAATTACCATCAAAATACCACTTCTCTATCATAAAAACGAGAGATGGAAAAAAAGGAAAAGAGAAACGAAAAAAGATAGTCTTTCATCATTTAGATGGCTTCATCTTCTTTCAAAATGGAGCATATTCAACTTCCGAGTTGCATAAAAATTGTTATCTTTTTGGTAGAAAGTTATATTTTATACTTATTTTATTAAAATTTATTGATACTGAAAAAAATTGTTAACGTGATGAAAATTGAGAAATTGTCGATTATGAATTTAACAATAGTTTCATATTAATAAAAAATTTTATTGATATAAAAAACTATAAAAAAAAATTAAGTTTTAAAAAAATTAAAAATTTTTAAATTTAAAATTATAATTTTGAAACAATTTGGAAAATTTTATGATTAATTTTATAATAGTGGAATAATGAAAATTTATGTAGAAGAAAAAAAATTTTTATTAATTTAATTACGGATTATTTTATTATATATTACTCATTTACATATTTATTTTAATTCTTTTTATTTAATTTTTCTCAATTTCTTGTTAATACATAATAATGTTTCCTACAAAAAATTACATATTGTATTGTGTAAGAGTGTAGAAATTTATGCATTCGGTAATACGTGTAATCTCAGTAAATATTACTACAGATAGTATTTATGATACTCGTATTGAAAGATACGCGACAATTTAGAGATTTATTTTCTACATAAATAATATATATTATATATGTAATAAGTTGTTATTTCAAATATAAATTAATTTTATTTTAATATTTTAATTTTAGAATAATAAAAAATATTTTATTTTATTTTTTTTCATTCAAAATTATATTTAAATTTAATTAAAAAATATGAATTTTTTACTGATTTTTATTGATCAATTTTGTTATTGATTTTGATGATTTTACATTATATTTTATTTAAATATTGAATTAAATAAATTAAATAAAAAATTTATTTAAATATTGTAATTAATATTATTATATTTAAATAACATTAAACACATTTTAATATTGAAATTTGAATATTGAAAGTAAAAGGAAATAATTAAACATATGGTTATGGTTTAAGAACATTTTCTTAAAAGTCAATTCAAAATTATTAGTACTATTTCATTCATGAAATTTGTTTAAAATTTGTTGAAATTTATTTGTTTTGACTTTACTTTTATTTAAAAAAAAAATAGTTAAGAAAGTTCATATAATTTGAAATTCATTTTAAAAGTCATTCTGAGGTCACTTATAGTATATAATTTTATTACATATTAAATCTTTGACCTTTATATTATTTGACCTTACATCTAATCTTGTTCGATTTATCTGTAAAATTAAGATTTTAAAGTGACAATATTTGAATAAAAAGTTAAGAATAAAATATTTGAATAAAAATTTGAATAAAAAGTTGAATAATAAATATAAAAATATAAGTTTATATCAAAAAAATTAAAAAATAATAGAATAAAATTAATTTATATGTATTAAATATTTAAATAATAAATATAGATTTATCGATGAAATTTTGTACGTTATGAATAAACATATGTGATTTAACAAAATAAAATTGAACTGTCTTATTACAATTAACAATGCGATTGATATGACAAAAAAAAATTGTCAACTTTCGAAAATATTATTTAAGTTGATATTTCTAAATATACTTAATTTTATTTTTAAAGGAAATTTTACTTTTATCTTTCAGTATTATTTTGCATATTTATCACAGCATTAATTTAATTTATCATTGTATCTTTGCATTGTTACCAAACAATCTGGTAATAATTAATCAATGTCTTTCAAAATAAAAAATTAATAATAACATTTTAAATTGTACTTAAAAAAAAGATTTATTTAACTTGAAAAAAAATGTTTTTCTTACAATAATTATGCTTTGAAGACAAATTTACTTATCTCTTTGTTGCGATAATTTCACTTTTTAACACTTTTACATGATTGCTACATAAGTTTTATCATTACTTATTTCAACAGGTACATTAATATGATTGATATAATAACTATATAAATAACTAGAGCTGGAGAAAACTTGAAATAAATCAAAATAAAAAAAAATTTCTATAAACAAATAGATTTTATAATATCTAAATCATGAATAAATATTATTTATTATTTATTTTTGGATTCAATGTAAATAAAATATTTATATTTATGTTATATATAATATAATATATATTAATAAATTGTAATAATATATAATAATAGCATAATTTTAAAATATTATGTTGTAATAATGTCAAAATTAAAAAGTATTTATTTAAAATACTATTATTTAATATACTATTAATATACTATTCTTTTTATTTTTATATTTCTTATATTTTAATGAAATATCAATTTCAAAATGATATTTATACGAATTCATATTAAAATATACATATATTTGAAATTCTGATATTTATTTAAATATATCTATTTATTCATTTTACTAAAAATCTATTTTTCTCGATCTATAAATAATTTTATTAAGAAAAAAAAATTATTTAAATATTTTATGTTACATTCATTACATCATATTATTGTATATCGTTATTGTAACGCCAAATAAAAATATAACTTTCACAATCACTGTATTTAATTCAATTTAAAATTTATAATTAATTTCAATATCATTGATGTGCCAAATTAATTAACTTCTGAAACAAACATGTATATTTATTACATATATATTTCTAAACAAACATATTTTCCATAAGATATAATTCTGTATTACAATAAAATAAAAAAATATCTTTATCATTTCTTTGGAAATAATTAATATTCGTTTAATATCAAAATATCATGGTATACAAAAGATTATTAATTTATTACATTTATTTATGTAAAATATTCATCATAATGAATAAAAACATATTATTCATTTAATACAGAATAAGTGATAAATTAAACAATGAAATTTAACATAAAAATATAATAATTGATAATAAGACAATAAGAGAGTAAGATAGTAAGACAAAAAAAGAATTGACAACAAGAAAAGGAATCAATTGAATATAATAATTTATTGCAACAAATAAAGAACGAATAAACTGGTTTTATCTGTAAACTATGTTGTATTCTGAATATTTTTGCAATATTGAATTTCGTCAATTGTAATTTATACATTTATTTGTTTAAAATATTTGTATTGTGCAGAAAAAAAACAATATGCATTAAATAAATAAAATATTATTAAATAAAATTATAAAATAAAATTTATTTATTTGAAATTAATTTTAATATATTAAAAAACAATCAATTTAATACATATGGTATATTGCAGAAATAATCTCTGGCGCGTCATAGTGTCCGAATATTAATGTAATTACTATATACAAGGTGACTTTTGAAAAATCAATTTAATTGAAACCAAAAGAAATTTAAAAATTGTACAAAAATATCAAAATGAGAATTATTTATTAAGTTATAAGCCATTTAAATTTATATTAGCTGAAAAGAAACATAGATAAAATAGATATCTTTATCTCTATTACACGTCATGTCATTCTGTCTCTGTCTCGCTTTATCTAACGCGAACTTAAATTACTCATAAATACTTAATAAATAAGCCTCAACTGATATTTTTGTATATCAACTTTTCTCTTTGTTTTTACCTTTGGAATCGATCTTCCAACGGAATATGACGTGCCTCATGAGCATATCAACATTCTGTATTGTAACAAACGTGTTACTCAAGTCGAATTCCCAGATAAGAAAACAGTCGGTCATACAATCGAACAAGACACGCATCATTTTGTCAATATTGTTTACGCGTTATACGATTTTCAAAAAATATGGACCTCAAATAACGGTGGGATGAACACGTGCCATCATATTATCAGCATGGAACAACACGATCGATGGATGACGTATAAACGTGCGGGTTTCGATTCGACGGTTTTGGGATGATTTCTTATCGTTGCACGAGGTATACGCGCGTTCGCAACACATTTTCACAATCAGTGGCATTGAGAACAGGCTGCCGGATACTAGTTTTACATCGCGAGTTAATCGAAGTCAAATGTGCATTGGATGTGTGGAAATTTGGTGAAAAAAAAGTATGTAAAATTTAATTATTTATATATATTTAAATATAATTTTCATAATATTATGATTGTAAAATAAAATTACAAATATTTTTGTGAATGTTATATTGTTAAAATTTTGGTTTAAACAATAGAGGAAAGAAGTAGGAAGTGCAAGGAAGAGAAAAGTTGAAAATTTTTCTTTAATGTTTTGATATTAAAGTGTGCATGGAAAAATAAGAAAAAGAAAGTAAAATTTTTCGAAACTGAATTAATTACAAGTATTAATCTTTTTTGTTTTTATTATGAGATATACAAAATATATTTGCAAAGATATAAAGTGAAAAATAAAAATTTCATAATCTTCTTTTTCTAAAATATATAAAATATATATTATTTGTAAAAGATATTGTAATATGTTGATATTGTATAATTTCTTTTAAGAAATTGTAAAAATTTATAAATTGAAAAACTAAAATAGTTATTTTTAAAATTTACAAAATAAAAATTAAACAATTGAACAAATTTTTTTTTTAATTCAAATTATTAATTAAAGAGAAGAAAGAAGAAGAGAAAGAATAGAGAAAAAAAAATCTTAGAAGGAAACAAAAGAAAAATCTTGAAGAAATTATTGCCAGACTAAAAAAAATAAATTATTGCATACTTATTTTCATAATGAATCCAACATAAAAAATCATCAAGCATTACTAATTTATATTTTTTTCTGAATGTATTACACTTTCTCTACAAACACTGTTATTCAAATGTAAAGTAAGTCAATTGAAAAAGTGTTATTAAAATCTTTCCAAGACGTTACCAAAATTTTCATTATAAAAAAATAATTCTACAAGAAACTATAGAGATAGAAAGTTCTGTGAAAGAGTATATATAGAAGAGTATATGTAGAACATACCGTATATTTATCAGTTTAGTGTGAAAGATTCCATTCTGAGAGAGTTGTAAGAATTATTCTTATCTTGATGACTAAAGAGAATGGAAGAAATATTATTGATATGTGGAAAGGAGAGTTACTTCAAGAAACAATTTGAATAGGAAAATTGATCGATTTGATTATTTGAATGTATTTAAAGAATAAGTTATCAATATAGCTTTGCATCACGAATGTATTCGTACAATTTTTAATTATCAAATTTGATTTATCCAATATTATTGAAAAATTTTATAATTTTCTTTAACTAACAAACTCGATTTAAGGAATGAAAAAATAAAAGATTTAATTTTTAATTTCGGCGAATTAATTTCATAATAAATTAAAAAATTGATTTAAGGGAATTTTAATAAATTATAGAACTTCTAAATTTGAATCAATTTTTAATGAATTTTTAATTTAATTTTAATTTAATTAATGGGAATAGTCGTTTATTTATTTTAAAATTTCATTTTCATATTCCTTTGAAAAGGATTTTTATTTTTGTTAAAATTTTTTATTAAAAGTTATTTTAAATGATTGATTATATAATGAAATAGAAACTTCAATAGATATTCCTATAGATTTCTTTTCATATTTTTTTTAAAGTAAAATAATAAAAAAATCGTTACAGACTTATATTTCTTATAAAAAGAGAAAAATATTTTTGTTTACGAAAAATTAGAAAAATAATGACATTTTAATGTTAACTTATTTTTTATTATTACTCAAATAATCCCAATCTGAAAAACATTATTGATTGAGACTAAAATAAATGAAATCTAAAATAGTTATTCCATTTATTTAATCTTATACACATTATATTCTATGATATATTTCTAAAAATTAAGATTTTTAAAAAATAATTTATTTTGATAATATTATAGCTTAAGTATTAATATTTCAATTATTCATTTCATTATTGAATTCAAGATTATATATATATAAATTTAGAAAAATAAAATAATCTTTACTAATCTTAAACAGTGATATATCGATATTCATTATTTATTATATATACATTATGCTCGCTATTATTATTTATCATTACACTTAAAAATAATTAAATAAAATATTAAATATAATATTAAAAATTAAATATAATATTAAAAAAGATATAATTTCTAGTCAAATTAATGCTTCCAATAATCATATTATTTCTTGTTGAACTTGATCTTGCTTGCTATTGCTCATCGTTTAATCACTTCAGATTCTTTGAAGTTTAAAGGCTTTTTCATTGATGACGATAGTGATATTTGTTCCGATTGAGATCGATGTTCATTCTCGTGACGAGATTCTTTGCAAATTTTACTATTGTGTCCAATAGTACTGCAATTCCAACAGTAAAATTTATCAATATTGTTCTTAGCATAAATAGTATCATCTTCATTGTTTAATATCTCCAAAACGTATTCTGAAATGTGTGAAGGATTGCGTAAAGTCATCATTGCTGCAGATGTGAAACACATTTTTGAACCAGAAGTAATTGTATCTTTTTCCATGTTAAGTTAATGGGAAATGGTAATAGAATATCCTTTGTTCTGAATTTTGAGAAGCTTGTTACTGTTCGAAGTAACTGCCTGCTGTCTTCAGACGTCATTCGATGTTTAATACTTCATATGTTTCTTTCAAAGACGGCAATTCTTCATATTATTTGTTCTAGTAATCTGTCAAGAAAAAATTTAAAATTTAATCTTTTTCCATTTTCTTAAAATAAGATAATTTAATGTTATTAATATATCTTTTGTGAATCATAAATTAAACGACTTATTCAGTCGATAAATTTCCTTACCGATTCGTCTTCACGAATTTTTAATTGAAAAATTTCCTTTTAAAAATAGATGAAAAATTCTTCTCAGATCATTTCTTTAAATATCTTGATAAGTCTGTAACGTTTCTTGAATGTTTTATTTTCAATGCTAATTCCAATCCGATAAGTTTTTTTCACACTTCGCGAAAATTGAAAATAGTGAATTCTTGCTAATAAACGTGGGAATCGATGCAGCAGCAGATCTAATACATTGCTCATGTTAATAAGATCATAGAATCATCGAAAGTATAAAAGTCGAAAATCGAAGATAAAAATCGAAAATCGAAGATAAAAATCGAAAATCAAGTTTATTTCCAAATCTTTCATCGAACAAATATAAATATAATATATAAGCCTAGAATTAACTACAATATGAGTTGCAATCTATCGACAGTATATCTCTGTCACCAGTTTCTATTATGAACCGGAAGGGTGCGGCTGCGTAGTTACAATTCCTTCAGGTTAGAAATGGTTAATCAGGTAAATTCAGTGTTGTTAATTGCAATAGATAAACCGACGTATATCTAATGCCGGGAGCTACTAAAAATGTTAGTAATAAACCTCTTAAAATGATCGTTAAACCTTGAGCGACAAAGGTATACCGTTATGGATTTGCTGGACTGAATATTATAACTGAACTTTATCATGAATAAGGTATATATATATATATATTGAATTTTTATATTCATCTACTGTACTCGTCATATTTTGTTGACAAGAAAATTTTTCGATATTCTAAAAATTTAATATTTGTTGCCAAAAGTTTCTTATTGATTTATTTTCTATTATTCATGATTTTTCAAAATGAAAATTTTTGTTTAAAATTTTATTTATTTGAACTCCGATTCGAAAAATTAAAACTAAAAACCGATTATTTCTTACTGAAAATTATTGAAAAAAAATTGTTTTTCTATTTTTCTAATGAATATAGAAATTCGATTATATATATATATATATATATATATACTATAAATCATACAATTAATATTGTTTGATGTTGCGAGATCTATTAGTATCATTAAATGAAAAATTTTGAAAGGAATATTGAAATGAAGTTAAATTTTGATTCTGATAAAAAATCTAATTTTTTTCGATTTTTTTATCTGAATCCTGATTTGAAGCTGAAAATCGATTATTCTTTTTTTTCATTAAATTCTTATTAAAAAAATTGATATATTCATCTAATTCATTGTTCGTTTGTTCTTCAAGAATAGCAGATATAAATATTCCATTGTATATAGATATATTCTATATATAAATCGTACAATTAATATACAAATTGTCCAGTGTAGTGATCGCGATATCTACAAGTAAACTGTTATCAGATTATTTAATTCTTTTCATATAAAAAAGAAAAGCGGGAATCAAAAAATAATGTGAAATAATATAATAATATAATAATATAATAATATGTTACTTACTATATGCAATTATTTGAAACGTACTGAAGAAACTTTAATATCTTATATCGTACAAAACTTGTCGTTCAACTGACCCTTCTGAGTTCTTACAGTCCTTTTATACCCTAAAATTGGGGAAAAACGAGTAGTAGAAATAGAAGGGAAAGTATGACCAACATGAAGAAAAATTTTTCATGGGGAAATTTTTATTTCCCGTTGATCTTGAATTTTCTCAAAAGTTAAGCCGTGCGTACGATCTTTAAATAAGAAATTTGATTTGATGTACATCTAGAAATAAAAAAAGTTTATATTAATTTATATTAATCTTAAATGGTAATATATATATTTAGTGTATATAATAGATAAATATAATTAATAGATAAATATAATTGAAAAAAATTAAATCTTTTTGAATGGTAATAGTTTAGTCATTATCAAATTAAAAAATATTAGAAATATTAAGTAATTGATAATCTAACCATAGTATTATTAAATATATTAAAATAAAAAAATAACTAATTTTTTTTAATATTAATAAATATAAAATAATTTTGATTAATATTTTATTATTTAAAAAAAGATTAATTTTAAAATTGTCTTTAATATTATTAAAAATAAATAAAAAAATAGCAATATTTAATTTATAAATAAATTATATGATAGACTATATGAAAAATAAGGTTCTTGTGAAATGATAAGGATTTAACTTTTTAATATATATAATAAATTTAATAATATATAATTATAATAAAAATTATATTAATAAAATAAAATAATATATAATTTATAATAATATATAATAATAAATTTAATTACCTTACTTAGAACATTAAAATAAATTTGTTGGATAATAATTTTTCATTCCATTTTCTGTTATTTTTTATATTTTGTAATTATTTATATATAATCAATAATGATTGTTGAATAAATTCATTAGAAAGATTCATTGATATTTTCCAACCATGGATAGATATTTTCCATCAAAAAAGGCATTTTCTGTTATTAGATAATACATCTAGAATAAAAATAAAATTAAAAAATTAAAAATTTTTTTTTTTAAATAATAAATAGAAATGAAAAAAATGAATGAAATGATATAATAATAATAATAGAAATAACTAATAATAACTAATATAATTCTTAAAATATTAAAAAATTTGTAATTTATTAATTCACTAAATTTAATTAAAAAATTATGAATAAAAAATATAAATAATTCGATATAAAAATGATATAAAATTTATATATTCATATAATATTGAGAATAAGAAATTTAATATTTATAAATAAATTATATAAATACATAATATATAATAATTATCTTTAAATTCTTGGAAATCTATACTTATATAAATTCTTGAAATAAATTTTCAAGTGTATCAGTATTTGAATCATGTTAACTATGCATTTAGATAATTTATTTAATTTATGTGCATATGTTTCATATTGTTCATGCAAGATAACCAAATGTTAATCTTATTTATAAAAATAGATCAGAATTAATTATTAAAAAAATGATCTTTCTGTTATAATATTAATATAACTTATTTATATTATATTATTATTATTATTTATATTATTTATATTATATATATTATTGAATATAATAAAAATTCATTAAAATATTAAAATATAATAAAAAAATTCAGAACTTAAATTAATGTTTTTTTTAAAAAAACATATTATAGATAATTGAAATATAGTCTTTCGAGTCCACTCAAATTTAAAAAATGCTTTTTGAATTTACTAAATTTGATTATTGAATTTATCTAATAATATTTGAAAAAAGTTATATATATAGGCTTTAATAATTTTAAAATCTATAAATTCAATAAATTTTGTAGAATTGTAAATTGATATTCGATATTATTTTTCATAACATTATAATTTCCAAGAATTAAAATTCTAAAAATGTATATATATTGTACAAAATTAATTAAAAATAAAACTTTTATTACTTGAATATTATTAATAATACATAATAGTATTAATAATATTCGAATATATTAATCTAGATAAATATGTTAAAATATATGTACATATATATATATATATATTTATATATACACATAAAAAGATATATAAAAATTATATTATTTATAAAATTAATATTATATATATACATTCTTTTTATATATATTTTATATATTGTGTTTCTAATAATTTTTTTTATAATTATTTTAATTTTAAAATTACTTACCTTTTACAAAATATTTTAAATGATAAATAGTGGTCTTTAGAAATATTATATATAAATATCACATATAGAAATATAAAAATATATTATCATATTATAAAGTAAATTTGTCGAAACGAAGAATGCGTACTGCTAAATAAATTGATACTAATTCGAAGCACTTGTAACAAACTGAGGATATCTACACAATAGCAAGTATCCATGCTTGTAAACAAAAGTAACCATAAATCACATCATTAATATGACTTCGAGTTATGTTTATAACCAAACGACGAAATAAATTTCAGTAAACGAAATCTAAGCAACATTCAACGAAGATAAATTTTGAATATCAATAATAAATGATCTTGATTCAATTGAATAATTTTAGAAAATTAACTTATTATAAATTCAATTGATTACTGGGCTACATATCTAATTAAATAAAAATATAAATTCATTTTATCAAAAATGAAAAGTTTAGAAGATAATTACTTGAATGATTTGAAATAGAATAACTTTCTAATAATTAAAAATTAATTAAAATATATATTATATTATATTATATATTAATATAAATATATATCAATAATAATAAATTAAGATTTTTTAGAAAATTTTTTTTATTATGGATTTTTCAATATCCTAATTATAGTCAATATAAAAAATTAAATCGAATAAAATTATTAATATTGATAATCCATAAAAAAATATTTCCAAAACCTAAAAAAAATTTCAATTTAAAAAAATTGAAAAATTCTTAAAACATAAATTAAATTTTTTATAAGATACATTTTAAGATACAAAAAAAATTTCGTAATATTGTTTAATTTATTTTTTTAATTTTTATTAAAAATATTTCAAACTTTTATAAAGGACAATAAAAAGAAAATATAATTTTAAACTCAATAATATAAAATATTTCTAAAAAATTTTTCAAAACATAATAATAAAATCTAAACTTTGTTAAGATTTTAAATAATACTATAAAATATTAATATTCGAAGAACCTTCGAAAAGTCTGTTTTAAAATGTCACAAGGATCGAGTAATGTGGCAATGTGATAAAGATAGAATAATCCCTCTATCTGTGTCTCTCTTCACCTATCGTAAATTTAAAATTTAATAAACTTTAACCGACATCATTATATTCTAATCTTTGCATTTGTTCTCCTATCCTAAAATCGACCCTATTCAAAAGTACAAAGTTAGAATATAATATAAGTTCTTTAGAATATATAAATCACGAATATATTAACACTTCACCAATTAACAATAAGATCTAAATCTATTAATAGTAATGCAAAATTTAATAACAAATTTCTTTAAAGCTTTCTTTAAAAAAAGAAGAAATTATAAAATATTAATTTACAAACATTTCTATCAATAATTAACAACCCACCTAACTTTAAAAATCTTTTCACAGGGATAAAAGAATCGTTAAGTGCCTCCACGCCTCCACTTAGAAGCAGGTGCATCCAGTGGCAAGATATATTTTCATAAAGGCTGAAAAAACGATCCCACGGGTACTCGCCAACGAGACTCTTGGAACACAATCCCAATCGAACCCTAATCCAACCAAGATCGGGGAAGGAAAAGGGTTATCCATGTTAGTGCGCGTGTCCAAGGGCGTCGCCACTCGCGCCACTTCGTAGGGCGGTGGACAGGGACGCGGTAGTCGCGGTGTGGACGCGACCCAGTGCTCGTGTTCATCGTTGGAGGATCGTTGCCGAGAAGATGAGCCTGGCGCGCCGGGAAGTAAGTACCTCTAGGGTTGTGTTGGGGCGGGTTGACGAGGGGAGGGTTGGCCACGCGTACACCGTCCTCGATTCAATGTCCCATGGACGGTGGAGGACGATCGATCCGACACCGGGATGTTCCCCGTGGAAAAACACCAAGTTTCATCGCGTGTCTGAAAGCCTCGTGGACACGATCCCACGAATGGAGTCCGCGTGTCTGCGTAGAACGAGCTGGATGGAAACGTTTGATCGAACGTTGAGGACGATGACTTGGGAGGGGAGAAGGGTGGATATATGGTGGATACGTTTTGGGAATTTATGATTCGAGTGGACATGAAAATTTGGTATAGATAGTGATTGAGGTTTAATTGAACTTTGTGGACTATGTAGATGATAACTTGAGGGGGAAAGGAGTAGATACATGGGAACGTGATTTTGGAAATTTATGATTCGAGTGGACATGAAAACTTGGTAGATAGTGATTGAGGTTTAATCAAACTTTGTGGACTATGGTGAGTTAGAGAGAAAATGGATAGGAATATAGTTTTAGAAATTTCAATTCAAGTAGATATTATGAATATGAGAATTTGGTGAATAATAATTGAATTTTTATTGAGTTGCACGTTGGATAATATTTGGTGAGTTAGAGAGAAAGTGGTTTTGGAAGTTTATGATTCGAGTGAACATGGAAGTTTGATGTATAGTAATTCAGGTTTAATTAAATTTTGATGAATTAAAGAGAGAGAAAATATATAGTACAATGTAGTTTTAGGAATTTTGTGATTTGAATGGATATTGTGAATATGAGAGTTTAGTGGATAGTAATTGACTTTTGAGTGATTGAATTGAATGTTGGAGATAATATTTAAAGAAAAGATAGTTTTGAAAATTTATGATTTCCATGGACATGGAAACTTGGTAGATACTAATTGAGGTTTAATTGTACTTTATAGACTATGTAGACGATAAATTAGAGTTAGAGTGGATACATGAGAATATGATACATGAGAAGATAGAATATGAGAATTTGGTAGATTGAATGATTGAATTGAATTAATTGGAAATAATATTTAAAGCGAAATTGGTTTTAGAAATTTATCATTCAATTAAATATACGAATTTCGTAAAACGTGATTGAGATTTAGAAATAATGATTTAGAATGGATGCATGAAAGATAGGAGAATGATTTATTTTGGATATTAAAATTTAATAGATAGTAATAGTTTTGAAAACATTGAACACAATACTTAAAAGCTAGGAAGATAGAATTTTTAGAAATTTATTATGAATGGATATTATGATATATAAAAATATGGGGATAATAATTGATCGAAGTTAAGGATGATAATTTAGAAAACGAATGGATATAACGATGTATATCGTTATATATATAGTTCTTAAAATTTATATTTAGAATAAATATTTTGAACAGTTGTATAAATAATGATTAAGATTTAATTGAACTTTGAAATCGATGACTTAGAGAAAGAATAGATAGTAATTTTTCTATATTCTGAAAATAAATATGAATTTAAAATCTAAAAACTCAAATCTAAAAATTTTATTGAGTTTAAAAATCAAAATTTTCAAATTAAATCTATTTGTGATTTGAGTGAATATTGTAAATATGAAAGCTTTTGCATAAATAACTCAATGATTTTTTATCTTTGATTCTTGAACGTTAGTGATGATAGGGAAAATAGTTCTAAAAATTTATGATTTGATTAAATCAAATAATGTGAAAGCTTAGTAAATAATGATTTTTTAATTAAAAATTACAAACAATTATAATTTAGGAAAAGGATACATGTAGTGGAATACTACATGAGAAAATAATTTTGGAAATTTATGATTCGAATATTGTAGAATTTTGGATTTGAAAGTTTGATAGATATTAAAGCTTAATCAAACAATGGAAACGAAAATATTAGAAATTTATAAATTGAATAAATATTTGGTGGATGATGATTAAATTATGATTGAATATTAAGAATGATGATTTAAACGAAGGGTGAAATATAAAAATGTATCAATATATATAGTTATAGAAATTAAATTAGAATAAATATTATAATTTTAATATAATAATTTAGAGAAATATAATAATTTAGGGCAAAAATTTTTAAATTTATAATTCGAATAGATATTGTGTATATGAATTTGGTAAATGGTATTGAATTTTAATTGAAGATTGGAGAGAATGATTTCGAATATTGTAGATACTGGAACTTATGATTATGCTTGAAATTTGACTGAATATTGAAGACCATAACTTAAAATTTGACTCGTTTTGAAAACTTACAATTTAACTTATAATTTAAATGGATGCCGTAGATATGAAAATTTAATAAAGGTTAATTGTGGTATTGATTGGTTTTGAATAATAGTTAGATGATATTTGGCAATAATGGAGTTTAGGAAATATAGGTCAGAATAGTAGTCAAAGTGAACCAGAAATACAGTTTTGTTGGGTATGATATTGGATGCATGGTTTAGATTTGTGTAATTTGTGCTTTTAAAAGAGTTCAAGGATTTTGTATTGAGGCAGAAATATATTTGTAGATATATAAATTCATGTTTTTTTTCCTTTTGAGATTTTTTAATTAGAATGTGATATTTAATTTAATATAATATGATTGAAATAGAGTTTTTTTTAAATGAAATAGAATTTTGTTGAAGTAAACATATTGAGATACATATTGATTTTCTTTAGCTTATCTTGACCTTTCTTTTTTTTTTCTGGAAATTTTGATCAGTTGAGTTTTAGAAATTTTGATATACTTGAGATAGATGATTTTATTGAGTTAGTTAGATAGACAATTCTTTAATTGGATACTAATTTGTTAGATTTGAAACACATAAAAATTGAAATATATATAATTTAAAAATATTGTTGTAGAATATAAGATTATAATAAGATATTATTGTGAAAAATTTTTTTTCGATATTTTCGATACAAATATCAGTATAAATATTTAAATTTATTATAGGTAGAACTTATTATACAGAATTTTTTAAGAATGATAATTAGAATCTCTAAAATTTGTATCTCTAAATATGTGGAGATTATGATTAATAATTCTTGGAAAATTTATATTTTTTTACTATCTATTAAGGATGCAAAATATAAAATTCCTTTAAATGATTTAATCAACTATTTTCTTTTATAATAATAAATATTTATAATCATATTTTTTTCAATTCTTTGCATAATCTCTATATATTTTTCAATATTTAACCAATCCTTTTCATTATGATATATTTATATTAGTTTTTTTCTTATTTTGTAAATATAGTATGTAGCATATTCAAAACTTTAAATAATCTTTTTATAATCACCTATATATTTCTTCAATATTTGATCTCAATTTTTGTTACTGTAATTAATATAATATTTACACAATATTTCTTTTTTTATTATAAAATATAAAAATCTCATATTTTTCATCGATATTAAACCAAAAATTTAACAAATTTTAATTTATTTTTAATTTTATTGTTTTAAAAATTTATTTCAAACAATAATTCTTCTTTTTACTGTATTAATTATAGTATCATTAGTGTGATTCTATATTATTTAATTAAATAATAGTTTATATTTTTAATTCACATGAACTAAAATTGAAATAAAAATAAAAATTTATTTCATATCTAATTTTAATATAATATGATGTTTTTATCATAATGTTTTAGCAATTAATTATAAATATTATGTTTAATCATTAATCTCATAAATTAAAAATTTAATTAATAGTGCTTCAATCATCAATATGATTCCATTGATCATTATTATAATTTTTTTTAATTTTCAATTCCAATCACTAATAAGTAAACTTAAAATAAAAAAATAAAATCTATTTCAAATAAAATAACTTTAATTTTATTTCTTTATTTATATTCCATTTATTTATATTACGTATATATATATATCATATCATAAAATTTTAAGATAAAAAATTCCAATTCGAATTATTATTTCCAAAATTCTACTTTCTCTCCAGTCATTAAGCAATAATTCCTGATTTATTTATATAATCATCAATTTTATAAATTAAAACGAAATTTAAAATTAAAATAAATTCCAATTTATAATATTTCAATTGTAATCTATGATATATCACCGATATAACATCATTATTATTATAAATTCTTCAATTTTATAAATAAAAATATGTATAATATGCGATAAATTAATAATGCATCCCATTATTTTTAATAAGATTGATGCAATTTATGTAATTTTCTTAAGATTGATGCAATTTATGTAAATTTTATCATACTTATCCATATAAAATATCTTTTTCATAATAATGTAGGAATTAGAATAATAATGTAGAAAAAGATTAACCGCAATTTATATTTCTTTTACAAATTTCATTTATTTATATAAAAAAATGAATGCGACAAATTAATACAAATATTATAAAATAATGTTGTTTAATAATGAACAGATTTCTGATGTTGTTTCGAATTTGAATTTGGCCGAAAAATTGCCTATTATATTAAATAATTTAGCAGATAAATGCAAAAGAATTTTTATTATTATTAATTATTGTTAATTTTTGCTAATATTCCAAAAATAGTAATTTTTTCCCAAAATTTTTATCAATTGCAACATATATTTTTTATTTTTTTATAAAATCAAATATAATTATATATTTTTTTTCTTAAGATAAACTTTAAAGTTATTTGAAAAACATTGAAAATCATGATGTGTACAATACGAAATAATGTATTATACATATAAATCAAAACGATATCTATTTCAAACAAAATCAAATCCCTTTTAATCCTTTATATCTAATTTGAATTTTTTATATACAATCCATTATTTATATATAAGGAGATCAATCTAGCTTTAATATTAACAAATATTATAAATAAATATTATCAAATAAAAATTGCATTCTTTCTATATAAGGATAGATATTTTTATATAATTAGTTTTTTCATAGATCAATATGCAAGGGATCATATAAAAATGACCTTTAATTTTTATATGAAATCATATAATTTAACGCACCAATTAATACATCTCATTATTTTATATAAAAAAAGTTATATTTATATATAAAAATTCATCAAATTTCCCATATTTCTTATCCTTCGCATAATAAATTTAATACAAATTTTAAATTCAAGTTACAAAACTAATCTTCTAACGATTCTTCTTCATTATAAAATAACTTATACTTTCTCAGATAGAAAATACCTGCACCGATAATTCGTACATAAAATTTCCCGTAAAAGAACGAAATCCTTCATCAAGTACAAAATCAACATTTATCCAAAACATTTAATTTTTTCAATGTAATTGAAAACAAACATAAATATAATTTCCGGACGATGAAGTTATCATCCTGTATACCCAAAATCCTAAGATGAAGAGACCCCACTCCACCCCCATTCACCAAGCAAAAATTCCTCCATCAAGCTGCTGCACCGTCTCTAGGAAAGGCCGGAAGATATGTGGGTCACGAAGCTCCGACAGATCGAAAAGGGAAGTAAGCTTGCTCGTGAGAGAGGTCTTACGTCGCGCCACTTTTAAAACACTCCGCGTTGGCCTCGCCTCGCGCTACTGTCCTCCGCTGTTTCTCGCCGTTCCTTCTTATTCCTTTCCACCACGCAAGCTCTCATCCCCCACAATCTCTCACCCTCCACATACACACACACACCCGCGCGCGCGCGCGCGCACGCACGCATATACACATATACATAAGTCTCCGGCCACTTGCAGCTGCGCAAAATCCTACGAGGAGCACAGCAGCGGAGCACACCCTCTCTCGCAGCTGCAGTTGGCAATGCGATCTCGTTGGATCGTGAACGGATCCTCTGATGCGCGACCATCGATTAACCAGCTGGACCACCGATAGCATACTCATTCGCACCTGCATCCACGATCAGAATACCGTAAATTGATTGAAATCGAGAAGAGAATTAATTATCGCCGAGTAAAGGGATAGGAGATAGATATCCTAGGGGAGAGAGTGAGTGAGTGAGAGAGAGAAAGAGAGAGAGAGAGAGAGAGAGAGAGAGAGAGAGAGAGATATACAACGATGACGTGAAAGACGTGTTTCTCCCTGGACCCGGCGAGAGAGATATCGTGTATAATACATCGCTCGTTATCCACGAGAATGAACTTTCGTTTTATATGTCGGGAGATAAGAGTGTTCCAGATTTTTTGTTTATTTTTCTTTTCGTAACTCGTAGGATATGTTTTGGATTTTTTGGGTTTTCTTTTTTTTTTTTAGATTCTGTTTCGTTAGCATTGGATATTTTGTGTTTGGATTCTCGGGTTGATAGGTGTCAGAGCGACGCGGTCGTTGACTGAATAAGGGAGTGGATGGGTTTTGATGGGATAGATAATGGTAGAAACGAAGTGAAGATCGGTGAAAATGGCACGTGTGACGGATACCTTTGGAGAGTTTTCGAGGATTCATGACGGTTTGCGGTCTTGGTTCGTTGCTTGGAGTTGAATGTTGTGTGCGTGGATGCATTAATGAGGAAGTTTCTTTTTTTAATGAGAGACTTGGAGGCTTGATAAGAGATGCAGTACATAAGTCACCGGTTACTTGGATTTTTAGAATAGATGTTGATTAATTTTGTTAATTGTGCAGAATTAAGTTTTGATTTTTAGAATTATTTAAATTGATTGATTCCAGATTTGTTATGTTTCTTATCATTGAAAATAATTATTAAAAATTATTATTGATTTTTTCAGAGAGAAACATAATTATATATATCTTTAATTATTTTTATAATATTATTTTAATTATTTACGTAATATATTTTGTCCATGTATCGTAGATCAATAATTCGGATGTTAATTATTTAAATTATGAAATATTCTAAATTTGATTAATATCTTTTTAAAATTAGAAAAAAAGTAAATTTTTAAATATTCAAATCCATAGTTTTTTGATCTAATATCTTAAAATTTTTACTTTGCAATTAACATCTTTAATATGATTATTTCTTAATTAATATTTCAAGTTTTATATATAGTTTTGTCATTTATATTTCCAAATCTATAATTTTCTTAATCAATTTTCAATTCTATGATTTTCTAGATAATATTTTCAAGATATCATCATTTCATAATTTACATTTGTAATTCTATAATTTTCTGTATCAATATTTCTTATTCTATATTTTTCTAATTAATAAACTTTAAATTCTATATTCTTCTAATTCTCAAATTCTTATTTTTTTAATTTTTTAATTCTATAAATTTTGTAATCTCTAATTCTCACGTATCCAAATCCATAATTTTTTTCCAATTAATATTTAATATTTAATTACAATTAATATTTCCAAATACCTTGAAAATGATAAGTTTCCGGTGAATTATGAAAAGGAATGTAAAAAAAATTTGAAAAATTGTTTTTTCGTTTATCCTAGATATTTTTCTTTTCATTATAAAGATAATGAGATTAATTAGATATCTCTTGTATTTTCAGCCGAATTATGATACATGTGTCGTCGGAGAACACTCAACGATACGATCGTGTAAAACGGAAGGGTGCAGCGTTTCTTTCAAACTTTTTTAAATCGAAAAAGCTGACGTTAGGTATGAAGATCAACGAGGACGAAGAGATGGAACGTGCTCCGAAAGTCGAGACACCTGGTAAGCCGAGAAAATGCTTCTTTTATTAGAAGACAGATGTTGGATAAAAGTTATTTTATACTTTAATAAAGTTAATCTTTTAAGGAATTCAGTTTTTTAAATAAAATTGATGTTCCACAATAATTTAAAATATATATAATAATTAATGTATTATAAGAATTTTCAATTGCTTTAAATTGTTATTTTGTATAATTGGTATTTAATATTTTTTTGTATTGTATTTTTTGTTAAGAAGAAGTAAGCTAATTAAAAGAAAGTATATTACTATTATAACAGAGTTAATTCTTCAGAAAATTCAGGATTTTTTATAAAATATTTTTGAAATTGAAATATAAATTTAAATAGGAATTTTTTAATTGCATTGAATTGTTTTAATAGAATTTAATAATTGATATTTAATAACTTTTTTATTGATTTATTTAATAAATTTCAAATATATTGCCTAGGTCTAGTTTGTTTTATATTTTTATTTTTTATATAATCTTTTTATATTCTATTTACTTTTATGCGTCGCTCTCTTTTTCTCTTTCTCTCTTTCTCACTTTAATTTTATAATTAATATCTCCAATTTTATAATTTTCGAATATTTATTTTTAGTTATTTTTAATTTTACAATTAATAATTCCAATGCCATAATTTTCAATTAACATTTCCATATTTATAATTTTCTAATTAATATCTCCAATAATATTCTAATTAATATCTTTAAATCGATGCTTTTTTTAATTAATTAAATTGCCAATTAGCTTATAAAATGTATTTATAAAATAAAAATCTTCTAAATTACTTAAAAATGATTAAAAATATATGTATATCCAAAATAGCGATCAAAACATATATTTTTATGAATATAAAAATTTCATAAGACCTTGAAATTAAAAGCTGAATCCTAAATATATCAATATAAATTTCGTTGCTTAATTGCTCTCCCTTGAACTCGCTTGAAAAACAAGTGGAGGAACAATGTAAGAAAATTTTATATAATCTCTATTTCTATAGAAATATATATACACGTTAAAAAAAAACATGTTAGAATAATTAAAAAAAATTAAAAACATTTTTTTTCTTTCTTCCTCTTAAAATAAAATAACTCAGCATCACTGAATTAAGCTTAGAATTTATTCTACAAGATATTTTAATGCATAAATACGAATATTATACAAAATCGAAAGCAAATATTTATATATAAATTTTTATGTATGTTTTAAGCGAATATTTATGTATAAATCTAGCAATGTTTTAAACGAATTTAAATGAGAACCAACTATGTTCAATTATACAATACTATGTTATTAGTGTCTTAGAATTGCAAGAAAATCAGAATCTCACCTTTTGGAAGATAGCCAATCCCGAATTATTTCCTTTCAGAGTTGGACACTAACCCATTGAAAAAAAAAACTTGGTTAAAAATTTCGAGTAAAATTACTTTAAGTAATAACTTTATTTAAAATGTTTAAATAATAATTATTCGTAGCTATAATATTTGATTCGCTCTTCATATAATCTTGGCTATTTGTGATTATTCCATGTTTTAAATAATAAATTATTGAAGTAATTTTATTCTTAATTTCAATATTTTTGCTCAGTTCTGGTGAATGGTCGCTAGGTCAGACGCAGGAATTATCGAGGATAATAATCATAGCTTTATTGAGTTTTTAGTGATATATTAGAAAACTTTTCAATTTTCTTTTGATACTTAAGATCGAATTTTTAAAAACTATAAAATTTTAAGAACTATTTCTTGTATATAAGCCATCCATCGCTTGACCTTACATGAATATTACGAAATTAATTAAAAATACGTGTACTCTTTAAGTTTCGTGTAACTTTAACAATATTAAATATAATATAAAACAGAATAATTTCAATATCATGTTTATATAAAGTGTATAAACATGTATATGATGTTTAATCGAGAGATTAACTTTACTTTTCGTACATAAGTACTTTTCGTTTTATTTTTCCTTTCTTTTTTTAATAATTATCGTCACGAAAGTTCATGATTAAAATTTCTTTTTTTAAAACGAAATACATTCCCGAACGATTTAATCTGATGTATTATTATATTCAATTGATAACTAACTTTTGAAATGAATTCTGGATACGTAGTTATGCACTGCACCTTTCAGATAATAAAACGTTATTCATTTGGATGTGGAAGATAAGTCGAAACTCCAATGTGTATATGAAGGTATTGGACTGGTGTTATCGACCAAACAATTACTTTTTATTTCTCATATCTTTGTTGCATATTCCGGTTACGTGAACAGTAAACTCTAGAGAGGATAAACTTGCATTTTTTATATATTTCAAATATCATAAGAACAAAAATATATAAAAAAAAAGAAAAATAGATAAATTTATAATAGAATAGTAAACTTGAATTTATATTGAATAATATTTTTAATAAAATGTTCCAATATTTATAAAAGTTAGAAAAAAATTTGAAATTGATTTTATAATAATAAAATTATTATAAATAAAATAAAGATATAATTTTAAAATAAAATAGATAAAATTTTTAAAATATAATGTTTAACAGAGAGATGATTGAAATAAATTTCTTAAAAATCAAATATTTATATATTTGTAAAAACTATAAATGAATATTATTGTAAACAAAATAAAATATCACAATTTCGATAACGAGGACATCGAAAAAACCACGATAACGAGAATCGATGTGATACGATAAATAGAACTTCTTCTATTTTATATTGGTGTAGTGGAACGATCAAAAAATATTCATTTTTTTTAGAATAAAAAAAAAAAGAATAAAAAAAAGATTAAAAACGAAAATAATGGATGAAAAAATATATATTAAATTTATTTTATAAAAATTTATTTAATAAAAAAAAAATATAAGAAAATTCTAAAATTAATGATTAAATAATTAAAATAAATAATAAGATTTAAGAGAAAAAATACAGAAGGAAAACGGAAAAATCCAATGGAGAGAACCAGAATATACAAATATTACATCATCTTCACTATCGATTATCTTGAAAACGAAAGTTCAGATAAAAAAACATTCCGTGTTTTTTTAGGAATCACATCGTTAAATCTTTTTTAATAAATGTATCTACGAAAAAAAAAACATTTGTAATTTATCGAGATTGAGCATAAAACATATTTAATCTTTCAATCTAGTTAATTCAAATCATAGTAGATATCATCATAAATACATGTAGCATGTATTATGTGTATATAATATACTTAAATCCATATTAATCCATATTATATTGTATCGTGAAATATAACATTTTTAGATTTATTTTTTATAAATAATAAATAGAACGAGTTAATATCTTACATTATATATTGACAAAAAGTTTGTTTATTTATATAATAAATTAATTTTGTATTTTAATAACAAATAGTAATATATAGTAAATATTTATCTATTTCTGTCAAAATGAAATAGATTCAATTAATATTTAAATTTCTAAAAAAACTAATAATTCTATACTAAAGAATTTTTTAATTTCCTTAACGATATAATGAATTTTTATTTGTAAAATTTGTTTATATATTAATATTAGAATAAAAATTGTCAAATTTTATATTATATATAAAATTATTATAATTTTGACAATAATCTAAATAAATTAAAATAAGTTACAGTAATACTTACTTAATTCTAATTTTACCCAATTGAAATATAATTTGCATAAATAATTTTGGGTAAATAATTTATTTGATTAAAAATTTTTTAAATTTAAAAAATTTTTTTTTTATTTTTTATATTTTGATAAAAATTTCTTAATGTAAATGTAATTTTAATTAATAGTATTATATCTACATAGATAAAATATATTAAAATATTATATAATATATCATAATAAGAAAAAGATATAATAATAATTTAATATATAAATAATTTATAAATTAATTTTAATATCAATAACTTGTATATAATCTTATAACAAAATAAATCTTTATAACAGTACAACAAATATGTTTGATTTTTATTTTTAACGAATTTTTTTTGATAATATTTAATACTATTTTTATTTTAATTTATTAAATACGCGCTTACTATATTGCATTACAAAATAAATTATCAAACATTAATTTATTAAATATGAATTTTTTATAGAACTAAATTGAATGAAATAATGAAATAAATAATAAGATCTCAAAAATGTTGATCTCAATAAATTATCTTTTGACATAATATAAAATATAAATTTCCCATAATTTGTTGCATATTCTCTGGCATAAAGAATACGATGCCAGTTTTATAATTTTTAGGATTTTAACATTAATCTTATTAAATATTTATAAAATAGATATTTATAATTAAATTTTCTATTTAAAGTTAATTTTATTAAAAGAATTTACATATTTTCAATAATTGTAAAAACAAAAAATCTGAAACCAACCAATTTCACTTTATTTAGTAATTAAAAAATCAATTGCAAAACTTTTTACTTTTTTATTTTATAATTTCTATAAATATATGGATCATAACATATTTTATTAAATTACATTTAACTTTTGTAATTTAATTATTAGAATTGAATAATCTTTGTTTCAGCGATCATCACAAACGCCTGCAGGCGTAGTGGCAGCGAAAATGACAACCAAGTATCAAGGATTCCGTCGACATTGAGCGTAGCAGCCGTCGATGTTGTCGTTGCTTGTCAACCATCACCGTCGCATTCCATTTTAACCTTGACACCTGGTAGAACACGAAACATCGATCAGGATATGGAGGCGCTTAGGCTAAGTCGACAGGATAATCCTTTCCTACAGGTTCGAATCGATAAGACCCATGGTACCCCATTTACAAACGGTCGAACGATACAGATAACGTAGAAGGAAAATACGTGATCCTTGAAGATAGAGTCTAGGGTTTTTTTATTTTATCGATAAGAAAGACCCTTTCTTTTGAAAGGGAGTCTTTGATAAAATTGAATATTATATAAAATTAAATATATCATAAAAATTAAATGTTTGGTATTGAATTTTTAACAATTTTTGGATTTAAAAATTTTTTGATTATTTTAGAAATAATGAAAAAGTTAAATGTAATAATTTGGATTTTTTGCATAAAAAATCTTTTTTTTTGTTTTCGAATAATAAAAAGATTTTAATAAAAATAGATTAGAATTAAATATATTACAAAAGTTATACATATATGCGATATTTAATTTTTATAATTTTTTTTTTTTAATATTTAATTAAAAATTTTATTTAGAGTAGATTAGTTAGAGTTGGTTATCATTTTCGATTACTTTGTTATGTTAAAATTTAATTAATTATTAGCTAAAATTAGCAAGATAATAATATGACTCATGATGATTCATTATTATCAGAAATCTTTTTTCTATGTTTATATGTAATAAATAATTTCATATATAGTTTCATAATTCATTGAAAATTGAATAATTACTAATACTTTGAATTATATTTGATTTTTTACATCAAATAAGTAATTGCAAATTTTCATCAAAATAATTGCAACAGTATTTATTAGAAAATATTTAATAAAAAATAAAATTTGAAAAGATTGAAATAATTACAATGATAAAAGAAATAATGATAATTTCTGATTTAATTCAGAGATTTAATTCTAAGATTTTCATGATTTATTTTTTTAATTAAGATGAAAATAATTAAATTTTTAAATAATTTATAATATATAAATTATTTAAATATATATAATATATAAATAATTTAAACATATTATATTTATAAATTATTTAAACATTTAAAATAATTAAAACAATTATAACATTGATATTGCAAGTAATAATAATTTTTATTATAAAAAGAAAATTGTATAATAGTATATACGATATGAATATTGATTTTCCTAGAATCAGGAAAAAAAAATTCGCTCATTCATGGTTTGCAATTAACCTTCATTATTTCATTAAGCGTTATACACGCTACAGTAACATAATTCATTCCTTTCTAAAATATATTTACCGGATATAATGACTCATAATTTTCTTCAAATGAGACTTATACATTTGTTCAACTGTATACATATATCTGTTTTTATGTTACAAACGATTGGATAACATAAAAATGACATAAATATTTATTATTTTTTATGTAAGATAGATTATCTAAAATTATGCTAGTTGCAATGACTTTAAAAAAATTACATTTTTCTTCCGAAATCTTTTTTTAATCTCTTCATTAGCAAAAGTAATTAGCAGACATAGTTTGTTTCTTAACAAAATAATTTTTTAACAATTTTAAATCTATAATGAAGATCAATTTGAAATATATTTCAAAAATTAAAATATTTCGAATATTTAATTTTTAAAATATATTTTAAATATTTTTTTAATATTTTCAAATTTTATTATATATAATTTTTTTTTTTAATTTTTATTTTATCTTATCTTATTTTAAATTATTGCCAATATTAAAATATGGCAATGGTGAATTTTCTGATTTTTCAATATTTCTAATATCTAATTTTAAATTTTATACTTCTAATATTTTTAACATTTAATTTATATTCTATATATTCTATAAATTATTTTATAAATATTTTATAAAATATTTTATAAATTTTATCATATATATTCTTTTTCTTTTTAATTCTTATTAGTATTTGACAAATAGAATAAATAGAAAAATATATTATTAAAAGTGATAGTCTAAAGATAAAGCTCATTAACCTATCCAATCTGTATGAACGATTTTTTTTCTATTTTTATCTAAAGAAAAAAATATCTATATCCTGTCCCAGTTTTCTACATCACTCGACATCCATCAATACTATTAATACTATACTTCAAATGCAATAAATCTAACAATCAGTTGCACTCACTTTTCCACTAATAGGAAATATAACGAATGTAGATAACAGATAAGCTCTTTTCAGTATGAACAATGAACGCTCATTCTCTTATTAAAACGCATCTTCTCTATATTAAAAAATGGTTTTTCATGGAAACAAATTGAAATGAAATATGAATTATTATTGTTTCCTGTTTTTTCTTTAAATTCTTTTTACATATTAGAAAATTTTTTAAATAAAAAAAATTTTATTAAAAAAATTATAATAATATTAAATTTGAAATTTATTTCTTACTCATTATTATTTTTAAAAATGTAATAAAATTTCAATAAAAATAATGATATTCATTCATACATATTTTTTGCATTTTTAAAGAGAAAAAGAGAGTGATAAAGATTTTACTTAAAAAGTCACTTAAAAAATTTAATAGTAAAAAAAATAAATGCTATTTCTTTAAAATTTAAAAAAAAAATATGATACATTAATATCAATTATTGCTTTGTTATAATAAAACAAGAATTATTTGTCATTTTTTAATAGCAAAAGTTATATAATTTTTCATTATGAACTATAGTTGACTTAATTTAATTTATTTATAATAATATAAATTATTTTTAATACTTTGCAATTACAATTTTAATTACATTTTAAGTTTTTTTAAAATGATATAGTTTTTTTAAAATGATATTATATATATATAATATATATTAATGATATGTATATGTATATATACTATTATAGGTTATGTTTATCGTCTTCATATAATCATACTATTTCATTTTAATAAATTGAGAATAATTTTTCTAAAAATATTTATATTTTTTTTATAATATAATTTTTTGTAATTCAATATTAAATTCAATATTAAATTTTTTATATATCCTTTATATAATAAACAAAATATCTATATCTTATAGATGTACTTTCACATACAATAATAATTAAAAGTGAATATATGTCTTAAAGGCAAGCGATTAATTTAATAAATTTCATATTTACGTTATGCATAAATTAAAAATTAATTAACAAAAGTTCAAATTATGCGTAAAAACATAAATTTGTATATTCTATCAGTAAAATATTCATATAACGTTACCAGTAAATTTTCAACGAACGCAGATAACAGATAACACGATTACTTCGTCACGCTTAAATAAATCCATGACTCACTTCCCACACCTTCGAAAAATTCGATATTTCACTCATGTTATTATTACTAAACCATTAATTTATATTTTTCAGGTATTGGCGAGCCGCGAAAGTTTAGTGGAATCGTTGGAGGAGTCCGAGTCCGATGACGCCATCCTGATGTCTCAGGTGAGCGATTCTTTCTCCTTTCGCGTTCGTTCGCCTTTGTCTTGGTCCATAAGAGCGTGAAAGGAGGCATCGATCGGTCGGCCAGTTTGCATTATTAATGCTAGCGTGAACTTGATGGCGAGGGCGATGGGAAGGGGCCTTGGTTAAGAGTGATACGTCTTTTCTTCCTTCAAACAGTCTTTCAGAATAGGATATGGCGACTGTTTTGAGTAGACAAAGGACATCAGGTTAGAGATGAGATATTTGAAGAGATATTTTTAATCAAAGACAATATCATTGGATCATTTTTTTAGGGAAATTATATGCATAATTGAAATTAAGATCATAATTTATTTAAGATCATATCATAATTTAATTATTGATATTATTAATAATAGTATTATACTTTATATACTTTTAATATTAAAGAATAATTTACCAATATTATTAATAGTAAAATGTAAGCAAGAATTATTACAAGAATAAAAAATAGAAATAAAAATAGAAAATTCTGACATCATTATATTGTCTTGATACATAATATATTAAATAATTATTGATAATATTTAAAAAAATACTTATAATTATTCAGATAGATTTAGATACTTATTTACATACTTAAAGATTGTTACAATTGTACAATTAACATTTTTTCATTTTATGAATGAAAACAAATTTTTTAAATTTTATTTTAATTTTTATAATTCAAAGATAATAGAATAACCACTTGTAAGATTTTAAATAATAATATAGATATTGCATAAATGAAATTTTTGAAATCTTATATAATCACATACGCAGATTAATATCAAGATACCTTTCGAATAGATTATATCAAGAAGAAGCCAAATGTAGTATTAGTTGTTACATAAGCATTATTTCCGAAGCACTATAATTGTTCAGTGATCTTACTATAGATCAATTATAAAAATTCAAAGATACTTGAAACAAAAATTATTATATAATTTAAAAATACTTCAGAAATAAATAATTTGCAGATACGTTACTTTCAATAAATATAAATTTTACAATGAAAAATATTGTTCAATTTTCAATCATTTTCATAAATCACAATAAATACAGAACTCTTTACAGAAAAATTCGATGAGACCAGAAATGATTATAAGAAATTTATCCAGTTGAATTAGATATTATGTTTAAAACCAATTACCAATTTAGAAACTTATTATGTATATTTAGCAAGATACGTATACATAAATAGTTCAAAATTTATTTTAAAAAAAATTTTATAACTGAAGAATGTTTACAGTAAAATTAAAAATTAAAATAATTGTAATAAATATCAGATTTCTAATAGGATTGAATTACCTAGATGCATCTCATAAAAATATTACTTTTTAAAAGATAACGAAAAGAATTAATTTTCCAGATGTAGAATTAGTTATTATTGATCATTCATAATAGTTGTCTATTACAGGGGATGGTACGTTCATTCCATTAACCCTGAACTGGCGAGGCTACAATAAGCCTTTCTATAGCGTCTAGTGTACACGGAACTTTGTGTACTTTATCTATAGTCCATTGTTGTGCTTTGGGTGAATTCCAGAAGCTTCAGTCATCAAAAGAAGTGAACTTAAATACTCGGTATTCAAGTGAGAAAAAAGAAAACAGGGATGATAAATCGATTATTAAAAATAACTTTTCTTATTTGCTATGAGATTGAAGTTTATTAAACGAAATTTATTTTATTATTTTGATTTTTAAAAATGCTTCTTAAAATCTATTTCAAAAGTTTTATATATAGATTTTATATATATTTTCATTATATCTTTTTTTCTTACATCATTATTATTCTATTTTATTAAAATATCATAACATTTTATATAATACAAAATTTATTGTCAATATCATGAATCTAGATTTATCTAGTATCTAAATTTAAAAATTTCATGGATTCTTTGAATCCATAAAATATAAAAATAATAATATAGAGTATATCATTTAATACTATTATTATGTATGTCATTATTTTTGTCCAAATATCAAAAAATGTTTCAGATAAAAATTAAATGCTTCAAGCGGAGCACATACTATTTATATTTTAAAATTGACCTTTACAGGTCCCTTACGCATTCATGTAAAAAAAAAATTAATTACATTATGCTCTGCTCATCAATCATTAAACTTTTATTTGAAACATTTTTTAATATTTTCAAAAAACAAACGAGATATTCTAGTTAGCAAAGTTACATGGGACTAATAAAATAATTCTTGAACAACCAAAATTATAATTACTGAAATTATAATTTAATAATAATAATATCAGTCTCACATTTAATCACATTTATTGTTTTCTTTATCTATAGTGTAATACATATATGTCATAAAAAGTATCTTAAAAAGAAATAATATTCAAATCTATAAGGAAGCTGCTTTTCGATAAGCTCATCTGTTATTGTACATATTGGTTGTTCAGGTATCTTTATATGTATGTATAAATAGTGATAAGTGACAATCTATATTCTTACTCACGCATTATCACGAATATACATATAGAAATAGAATATAATAGTATGGCACCAAAAATATTTTGCATGTACTTGAAAACTAAAGCTTAATAGTCACTTATATGTAAGAGAAAAAATTGATCAAAATGATTTAATTAACAAGCAATCTCAAGCTCACTAAGAATAAGAACGGTGAGTGACATTTATTTGACATATTATTTCGATTGTGATAATGACAGAATCAAATTATATAAAACAAAAATGCATTAAATGATAAATTCTATATCTAGTCGATGATAAAATTTAATCAGTTACGTAAATATAATCAATTACAATATTCTAGAGATAATGATAATTTTATTTCTTAATAAAATATATACTTAATTGTACAAAAATAGATAAAAAATAGATAATAATTTAATTAAATGTAAGTAATAATAGTTATCTAATCGAGAATGGATTAGAACCAATGATAAACGCATAAAAATATCACAAATATTTTATTTTAAAATTTTAAAATTTTCTTAATGATTAAATATTATCTTAATGAAAGTTCTAAATTTTGAAATTATGAAAAAATAATATTATATCATTTATAAAGATTCTTAAAAATGTTATTTAAGAATTTTATTTTATTAAACAAATTTTAGCAAAATATTTTAGAAGATTTAAAGAAATAATTAAATAATATTAATTATTATACTATTATATTGATATTATGATATTTTGCAGACATGAAAAATATGCCAAAAAATAAATAATTTCAAACTTAAGATCAAAGAAATATTATTGTAATATTTAACTATATAATTCTAATAAAATATCAAATTACATATAAGTCATATAAATTGGTAACTAGACATATGAGGTATCTCTTAATAAAATTTATATAGTAATAATAATATTAAGAAACTAAAAGTTTAAAAGCATGACATCTTATTTAATAAATTTTATTGGAAAGTAAATAAAGGCTAAAGAAATTACGTTGCTTTAATTATAAGAAAATACATTTTTTTTAATGGTTATTTAATGGTTTTAATGGTTATATATATAAGATTTATTGATTTTTATGACACTATGATAAAATATATAAATGTTATAAATATAGAAATTTTTAAACACATATCAATGAATATCTAAAGATATAGATTTTGATTATTAATAAATATTATTATTATAATATAAGAAAAAAAGTAAAAATTAAAAATAACATTAAAGAGTAAAATAAATCAATTCTCCGTTAAAATAAAAAAAACTATGAATAGTATACATTTAATAACGTACTACTGAACATAAATAAGTACAAATTTTATGAAACAACAAAACATTAAGCTAATAAATCCAATTACAGATGATCTTATTTTCAACAAGTGGATTAAGATTACGGAAACTCTATATGTCATATGGATTTATTTTAAATAGCTTTTAATAGAATCATATACAAAAGAAGATTTTGTCTGGTAAACAAGCATTAATTTAACCTGCGTCTGTTAATAGGCAACCCTTCAAGATTTGTCTCGAATAAACTTTTATTCCTATATTAATATGATATATATCCGTCTAATTTTTCCCTTTATATTGCTATGTTCAATACTTCCCAGTTTACAATTAACGTAAAATTTTCCACCCCAAGGTAGATATACACACATTCCCTTTTTATCGACAAACTAATGGTCATCGATCGAAGCATACTTAACTGATACTTTATCTACTTTATTCTCATCCCTTCTCGAGTGCAGTCATAAATATTCTATTCAAGAGGGTGATAACTTCAATTATCTCAATTTATTGTACCCTAATTTTTCATTCTTGATATCATTTTATCATTAATTCGTGAAACACTGTCTAATAATATAAAAATATTTTTAAACAAAATATATTAATGAGATTTATGATGGATTATATTTAAATTATATTAAGAATTTTTATATATAAAAAATACGCGTAAAATAACTATAAAGATTAATTATCATTTTCACATCAAGTACAATAACGTTCGTGTTATAATTTAGATTTTAATTAAATTAGCTTGGTTTAAGTTATAATATAATGTGTATAACATACAAAATAGTATAAAAATATTAATTCTCATTTTCACAATAGTATATAGGTAACTTTTATTATTTTGTACGATTGAAACGCTTATTTTTTTTAGGAATTGGGTGACACCGACCCTTTAACTTTAGCCCAAGTGCATGAACATTTGGTCAGAAGTCCACCGCCCGCATCGTGGCCTCACAGTACGACTTTTCATTTCCCCCATCAGAATCAAACTACATCTGGAAAGAACGATGTGTTGGCGCATTATAAAAGCCCTTCGAAGACGACTTCGTGTCGCAACAACGATCACGAACTGTCCAAAAGTGAGCCATCCACGGATATTAGAGGTGCGAGCCCAAACGACTAAATATTATATTTGTCTTTATCGAAACGAAAATTCTTATTTCCATGTAGACTATATCAAGTACATATAGATTTATATATTAGCTACAAATATATATATATGTGTGTAGCTAATATGTATAGTTAATATATATAGTTGATAGCTTTCTCTTTTAGTAGATATTGTTTGCGTGCTTTAGATACATAACATACATTTATGGTAACGTAAGCTTGATGCTTGTCTTTAGCAGTGGTCTGATGCTTTAATAAATATTAGTTTCTTATATATAATCGATATACATATATATATATATATATAGAGAGAGAGAGAGAGAGAGAGAGAGAGAGAGAGAGAGAGAGAAAGAGATTATTTGATCGTTGTTCGCCACATGACGTTAATGGAAATTTTATTGGTTCTATTACTTTAGTTTTGATTTCGCCATTTGTTATCCGTATTGTATAACTATAGCAAAAAAATCGCGTGTGATTACTTTATTACAGAATGGAAATAGAAGAAGATTTAGTAACGTGATTTGGTTATAGGTTGAACAATTTTTATAATTTTTATATTATATGAAAAGTAAGGTTTTATTATTTTTCATAAATTTTAGAACATATTGATAATTTTAAAATTTGTTTATCCTTATTGATGATCCATCTAATATATATCGATATCTAACATTTTTTATTTTGAATATTCCTATTGTTTGATATTTATTATTTTATTTCTTAATATTTTTTTAATTAATTAATTTATTAATAATACTTCTATTCTTAAAATAGTACTTTATTTAGATTTGCTAACATTATTTAAAAATGTCATCTTTAAAATATCAAAATATCAGCAAAAAAGATTATATAATAATTAGAGATAAGATTATAAAAACATAAATATAGATATGTTTATAAGCATAAGTTTCCATAAACATCCACAATTTGCAAATAATCGAATCATAGTCATATATGGAAATATCTTAATTCACGTAAAAGTATACATGGATTATTAATTATACATCACACATGAATTGCCATATTTTAATTCCCAAAATGACACACGACACGGAAAATGAATTAAGCGGAACGGACAAAATCGAAGCCACTTGTAAATTGAAATAAATCGAGTGTCTCATTAGAATTTCATAAAGAAAAATCGATAGGTGGAGGCATCAAGGCTATATCCAAGGTCACTCTATATAGATCCATCTAAATAGAATCTGCATCTTTTTTAACGCGGAGAGAATACAGATAAAACTCTTCTCACATAAGTACCTTAAGTTTTATATACATGTACACACATATACAATTGATCAGTCTATCAATATAATAATGTTTATAGGTATTGATCGACTAAAATTTTTTATTTAATTTATTATTACTTATGATCAATCCTAATCTTTTTCATAATCATATTTCAGTTCTTATTCATATTTATAAATTTAAATATCATCATTTTTTTATTCTTACTGATATTATCTTCTTCATTTTTAGTTTGTATCATCATTAAATTAAAAGAAAAGTAGATTTTATTTCATACAAAATACTATATAAAAATTTCAAATATCCAATTTATAAATGGCATTTGCAATATAAGATTCAAGATTTAACTTTGAGTTTGTTTATATTAATCGTTTATGTTTTAATTTGTGATCTTGTTATAATCTCTTAATAATAATAATAATAATCAACTCTATAATCAAACTCTATGAGAATCATGGTAATGCAAATGCAAACAGCAGCAATAAATTCAAAAGGAATTAAATTTTTTCAATTTTTAGATATATGATTATATTTCGAATTTTGAAAATTTTAATTTATATTACTATGATTCTTATATTTTATATCCTATCATATTTTAACAATTCTTATACTTAATAATTATATTTCATTTATCTTTCGATCCATTACATTAATATATCCACACAAATTCATATATGAACACTCTTGAATTCTTGAAAATACGGCTTAAGAGTTCTATGGGCAATATGGCAGATGAATATGGAAATCAGGGAATAGGTTTCTTTGGAACATTAATGAATTCATATATTCGCGGTGGACACTTATCTTGCGACCTTGATGCTTGCCACGCTCACAGAAGTATAGATGCAATCGATTTCACCTTATTTTTAACCCGCATAAATTAATGGTTCATGGCATGGTGGGCGTGTCTTGACTTTCGATCGGCTCTTCAACTGGTGAAAAATATTTCCATCCCCTTATGATGCAATCTGCTTTCAGTTAATTTAAATTTGACCTAAAATTATTATTATTATTATTATTATTATTATTATTATTATTATTATTATGAAGGAATTAGATTTTTTAAAAGATAATTTATACCGAGTTTCATTTAGATTGTTTAGTTGATACTTGATTTTGTTGAAGGTTATTTCCGGTTTGATTCAGATCTTGATAACTTGTGATTTGAATTGCTGAAAAGGATGCTCGAAATGTTCACAGATCGTTGAATTATAATTGAAATTGTGCTAGTAGTGATATTATAGTAATGTTAGATAATATTAATTAACTCTATATTGTTGTATTATTATTGCATTAGTATTAATATTTATTATTTTTTGATATTATGTTATATAATACGAACATCTTAATTGAATTTTAATTAATATTATATTAGTATGATCTATATTATTATTTAAATCATGTTGACATCTATTTTGAATTAATTATATTAATATAAATATTGTATAATAGTTTTAATTATATCATGAATAGTGTTATCATTTTATCATATAATTATATTGTTATTTTAATTTTTTTTAATATAATAGGAATTTTATTTATTATCAATTTTTTTAATAATTATATAACAAAGTACTGACGCAAGTTGTGATATTTAATAATATAAATAAAATAAAAAATATAAATAAAAAAAATATATATTGTTAAATATAATAAAAATATAAATTATAATATAAAAGATTAAAACAATTTAAGATAAAATAAAACTTTTTGACAATGCTGCGTGACACATGATCGTCAGTACTTCCTTTGTTCTTTCATGTTGGTTGATTTACCGCCAGTACTGAAAATGCGCGTGACTGATCTAATCACCCCTCAACTTGTCGCATTGCGCGATTTTTTATCCTGTTCATTCATATGCACGCACGTGAAGCATCATATTTTTTTATCTGGGGCAATAACCCTGATCGCTTACTATACTTTGATGTTTAAAAAACACATTAACAATGAAGAGGAATTAATTCGTAAGAATTTACAAATGAAACATAACATGTTAGTTAGACAGTTATATTTTATATTTTACATTGAATTTAAAAGAATAATCATAATATAATTATTATTCTTCAATGAAAAATTGTTAATATACAAATTATATTATTAATTTATTTATAACGTATATATTTTTAAAATTATTAATTACATAAAATATAACCATATAACAAGATCTATTAAAATAAAAATAGAATAAATACAAACATGTTAAAAACATGCAGTTTATTGAACATGCAATATATTGATGCAAAATGCATTTACAATCATATAAAGTGCAGTTATTATATCATGTTTCAGTTTTATTTATATCATGTTTAAAATTTATTTCGTTAACATATTGCATACAAATTTTATTATTTATATTAATTAATAAATTTTAATTTTATATTAAAATAATAAAATAATATATTATAACTTATAAAAAAGAATTAATTTTTAATATATTAATTCTAAAATATTATGCAATATTTTATAAATTAAAATATCTTATTTTATAAATTAAAAAAATCTTCACTTAATTAATTTTCATTTATAATTAATTATATATTTTTGATCTTTATTTTCTTGTAAATTTTATTCTCGAGAGAATAAAATTTAATTAAAATAACTCGAATATTCAAATGCAATTTTGAGAATGAATTAATTCAATTTCGAAATTCAAAGTTAAAAATAAATTAATATTTTTGAATAATATTCTAATATAAAATATAAAATATAAAAATAATAATAGAAAATATAAAAATTGATTAATAATTTTTGGTATTATAAAATAAAATTTTAAATTTATTTTTATTTTTTTCAATTTTTTTTTGAAATTTTAAATAAAATAAAATATCATAATAATATCATAGTAATATCAGTAAATCAATTTAATAACATCGTGTTGATAAAAACATTGTATTTTTGTTGCAATTTTTCAGATCGCCACTCGCACACATTCTCGTTGTTACATCCAACGCCGATTCGTTCATTATCAGACGTTCGACGACTTCACAGATCGGCAGATGACAGCGTACAACTGATGTCGAGTGAATAAGATGCAAATATGTCACGATCCGCGGCCGGATCGAAATGGTTTTTCACGTTCAGAACGCGAAGCGTGCTTTGTTGGTGCTAAAATACCTATAAAAGTTCCCAAATTGTTTCAGAAAAGTGTGTCCACGTTGAAAGGATACTTAAAAACTCCTCGCCAAATTTACGTATGATCGCGATTCATCGAAACGATTTCTCGAGTTGCAAATCTCGAAAAGAAATAATTTTTCGAAGAATCATATAGAAATTGATAAACAGATTGACTTGATAATGAAGAAGATATTTCACATTTGAGTTGTTGATGTGAAAAAAATTTCGAATGTTTCGTGTTTTAAGAGTCGTGAGTTGTATTTACGAAAAGTATACGACTTGAAAAAGATTTGTAGATTATCTTATGTTGCTTTTCAAATAGTTTGAATGTTCTTTGTTTCAGAGAAAATGAAAAAATCTTTGTTGCAAAATCAAAATATTATTATGAGGCTTAAAATCATGAAAAAAAAGTATTATTAAATAATTTTATTTCTTTTGATATTTTATAGATATAAATAAGTGAACTAAAAATATGTGTGTCATAAACACACATATTTGTTTAATAAGCAGCCAGTATATCACAATTTTAAATGCAATATGCTCACGACAACATTAAAAATTGTACATATATGCTCTATGACAAAAGAAGCGACATCTATTTCATTGATTTTTCATATAAAATTTTAAGATTATTTATTCTTCAAAATAGAAAAATAATTGATGAAATTATTGCCTACTTTTTGCAAAAATGCAAAAAGTACACATTTTTATTTATAGTATATATTTTTATTTATATATAAGATGCCGCTTTTTTCTTACAAATTAGAATTTATTCAAAAAATAATGAATTAGATGAATAAGATGCATTGCTGTAAAAAGAAATTTTATTACACTCACTCATGAATATAATATAATTAAAAATAAAAGAAATTATATTTTATTGATATATACATACATATATATATATATATTTTTGTTCAAGATACAAAATAATGGATATTTATATAAATACTAATACGCGAGAATTTCCATTTTGTCATATATAAAATAATATTATTGGTTTTTTTATTTTTACTGATAAAGAATTCATATTCATTATTATAATATTTTATATATTTATGAGTGAGTGTTCAAATTCAAAAAATTTTTGTGAAAATTAAGCTTTGCTTTAATTACAAAATTGTAGTCTGACGCAACCGAGCCTAGGATATTTGAATAAGCGCGTGATAAAATAATCGATTGCTATGTAATTACATAAATAGGAAGGCCTATAATTGATCAAAACGATTATCTTTCTTATTATTTAAATTAGAATGTTTCTGGTTTCTCTAAGTAATTAAAAAATCAAGCGTGCATGTTTGAAGTCAATTGATACGTAGGCATTATTTTTAATGATGGTTTGATCACCCAGCTATGAGAGATAAATAGTAATAAAATATTTTATTTAGAGTTATAATACAGTTTATAATTAATTTATATAATAATGAAAAATATTATCTTTTGTATTTCACAATTTTCATTATTAATATTATTTATTTTTAATTTATTATTCTCTTTTTAATTTCATTATTTAAAAGATATTAAATTGAATTAGTAAAAAGAAGAGAAACCATAGAAAAAAATCTATAAGAATTATGCAAGATAACTTAACCTAAGCATTGTTGCTATTTAATATTATTATTACGATTCTAAATCTTGAATATAATTATTAATTAATTTATGCTTCCATTTATAATATTATAATACACTTTAAAAATGTCAACAAGTGTCACTTTATATAACTTTACTTCGTAAAATTTTAGACAGTATCATATTTAACAAATTGATGGTACTTATATATTTAAACAACATTAAAAACAACACAGTGTTTTTATAATATATAGTGCAGTATAATTTTTAATATAAACATTTTGCAAAAGTGAAATACCAACATTTACTTTGAATAAATATATATTTTAGAATATTTTATATAATTTGAACGTATATTATTGATTATTTAAGTTTTTGGTCTATAATAATATTGAAATTAATATATTTAATATACTTAAAATATTCAAATATTCAAATATTCAAATATTATTCAAATATTATTCATAAAAATTACTAAAGAATAATGTATTATTATTATGTATTATTAAGTAACTTTTTTGACATTACATTGTCTTGCATCGAAAGAAATCTCTAAGTTTATATTGTTGCTGTTGTTGTTATTAGTCTATATTTATTTTGCACAAATTATTTTTTATCAATAGCATTTCAATGCTATCGAAAAATAAAGATAGCATATAAATTGCAAGTATTATTAAATATGAGAAAATGCAAATCTTCGGAATAAAAATTAATCATAATTAAGCGCTGACGATGCGCCAAATGTATAGGCCTGATCATAAATAACAAACTAGAATAATCATAGATTAAGAATCTTTTTTTTATGCAAACAAGAAAAGAAGACATGTTTGTCGGTACTTCGAATGTTTAGTGTGATTCACTTTTAAACTCGAAAGTATTTTTTTAATATTGTGATATCAGTTCACACTCTGCACAAATATCAACGAGTTAATTAAAACTTATCAAGACTACTTTTGACTTTCAACGCACATAACCTATACTTTTTCTATATTTTATGTTTTGAAGTTAAAACGATAAACGAACAATTCTATTTATAATTAATTGTAGTTATCATATATTGAAAACAAAATTTGTTTCATTTGAAAAATATCATGAAACTAATTGTTTTTGAATATTGGAATTACAATTATAGGTAGCCAGTGGATGATTTAACATTATAAATGAAAAAAAATTTTAGCAGGGTTTATATGAAACTTTCAAAATAGTAGCATGTAAGAAAAGAAAAAGATCTAGAAAGTTATTGCAATTATTATTGTATTGTAATTATAGTGTCCAATTGACTTGGCCATTGAGAATTGAGATTATTTCTATTGATATGCGATATTAGATACACTATACATGTGTATTTAGAGGCTCCAGGCAGTTTTGTCTTCGTCTGGATGCCAAATAGGTAAAAATATATATAAAAAAAAAAAAAAAAAAAAAAAAAAAAAAAATTAGTAGAAAGACCTATATAATATAATCTAGTCGAATATAACATATATACTGAGGACTGTGTTGTCACTTTTAAGGGAATATTAAATGAATACTTGTTCAAGTAATTCGAGTGTTGAATAATCAATAATGGTGAAGTTAGATACGAATATTATTTCTATTTAAATAAGCTGAAATTACTTTTGTTGGAAAATGATGTTGAAAATTACAATAAACTCTCGATTTTATGAAGGCAAATTCATAAATCTTAAATTTGATAATCTTTATGATCTTTTTTATAACTTTGATATTGACTTGAAAGTTTGAATTCTTAAATAATTACTAACTGTTGTTCTATTAATTCTTAAAATCAAGAGTTTATTGTATTTATATGAATCTTCATATTACATATTTATATATTTTTTTTTTTATTTAACAAAAGCACTTCGCAAAAAAATCTTAACAATTGTAATCTTGTATCTACAATTAGTTCAAAACTAAGGCACGATTTTATTAAAATGATATAAAAATAAATTTTTCAAATTACGGAAAAAACTAAATATATGTTACTTGTTGTTAAAAAATAATAATTTTATTTTAATATTGTAAAATATTTATTTAAATTTTTTGCAGCTGTTGTCATTTGTTAAATCGATTTTTCAAATTTTATGTGTGTGTGCTGTGCAAATAATTACTAAAACAAATCTTTGTTTATTTGAATTTTTATCAAAATAAAAGTTTGATTCTTTATATCTTTACATTTTATTAAAATTTTGTTAACCTCTTCAAAGAATATATTTCTTGATAAAAATAAAAAATATTCTTATATCAAAATTGCAATTAAATGATATTTGTAACTATGCAACTATATAATGGTAAGTATTACTTTCTTTTTTAAAATAATTATTTTATTTTGTAAATCGAAATAATAGTATATTAAGTCCAGCAATATAGATAATTAGTATTTATATTTTCATTTTGAATTTTATCTCAATTTCATTCTACTTTCAATTTATCAAATAAATAAAAAATTATTCGCTACTATATATACATACATACATAAATTATATGTTTGTAATATATATTAATAACATTTATCTTATAAATTTTTTAATTAAAATTAAATAACATATTGTATAATATAAAATTTTTTTTTAATAATATTTAAGTATTAAAAAAATAAGATATAAAATTTATACAAATTTTAAAAAATTATTTGATAAAATTATTTGTATACATATATTCGAATTATGCGCAGAACAATCTTCAACTAAGGGACATCTAGCGTAGAATTGAAAGGCGACATAAGTACATAAAGTAGATAATCAACTTCATCGCCTATATTTTTGTATTGCAAATCTAATTAAGCAAGTTTCAAAAGCAGTTGTATACGAAAAGTCATTGAAATGATTAGATATATATAACTAAAAATATTAAATAATTGTTTGATATTTAATAATGATTTCATAAATCGAATTAACACGAATATAAATATTAATGCATTTATAAATATCGATTAATAGCATCACAGAGTGATAAAAATAATTAAATTATAAAATGAAGGGTATTTTAATTTTCGATCATTTAAATGATGTTCTTTTTATGAAATGTAATAAAAAATTTGCAAATCATATACAAAAATTAGCTAAAATTCAAGGATTGATTTCTGAAATCAAGGTAAGTTTTTTTTAAAATTTTTTACAAAATTCAAATTGTATAAAGTACAAGATTTTTATGATATATTTTTATGATAATTAAAAAATTATAATATTATATTTAAAGTTTAAGTATTTTATATTATTTACTACTACTATATATTATATTTAAATTATATATTTTATACTGAATTTTATGAATATTTTTTTAAAAAACTTTTAGTCATTATATTATAATATTAATAATACTAAAATCCTTATTTTATGATATTAATTAATATTATAAAATTATTAATATATTTTTATATATTTTATACAGGATGAAAATAATGAGGATTCAATTTTAAATCCAAATATCATAATGCAATTATTTTCACCTATTGTTACATCTCAACATGTAATGGCTTCTCAGTTTGGAAATTCTTATACTTCAATGAGATGTCATGATGGTACAAATATGGTATTTGATGAATTTATGGGATATACTTTCATTTATATATCTATGGATGAAGTAGAATTAATGAAAAGAACATTAGGAGTATATGTGGCAATCGTAAGGCATGTTTGTGGACCAGATGTTGCAGTGTAAGTTAAAATAATATTTAGAAAATTTGTTTATAACAAAAAATATGATATTATAATAAATAATTTATTTCCAGATTAAAGATAAACAGACAAAAAGTCTGTTTAGTTTCTAGTTTATTAGATGCATGGATACATTTAAGAAATTGTGAACAAAGTATGCTTACAGAAGCAATAGAACAGTTATCAATAAATACAGACTTAGGTGTAGCAATACTAAAAGTATTGCATGATGCTTGTGATAAATTAAAGGCACAATCTGAATTTTCTAATGTACACATCTTGATATTAGTGGAACAAAAATTTCTTTCATTGTATTCTAGTAAAAATGCTCATGATTTATATGCTTCTGATATATTATTGATGATGCTTATGTGTTGGGTAGTTAATCAGAGAAGAAAAGGGGATAGTCAATCTGGAATAAATAATAACAATGATGATTGCATTGACATTCTTTTACCTGAAAACAGTTCTTCTAAAGAGGAGCAA